AAAAAAAAATTATATATTTTTTTTTTGCTGGAGTGGGGCTGTCAGTATGTTAGCTGCAGTGCAGTGCGTTTTTGACGCGTTTTGTGTTTTCGGACCGTTTCCTGACCGTACAAAATGTGACATGTAGTATTTTTCTGTCGTAACCTGAACGGACTGCGCACCTGAGAACTGTAGCCCATAAAACGCATAGGGATACATTGGGATGCATTTTTAGTGCAGTGGCGTACGGATCAGGTCAGCACATTCACACAGACGTCGTGTGAACAGGCCCTAAAGGAGAACTATGAGGTTATAGTTGAAACTGTCACACGTCGGCTCTATTGATCGCGAAGTGAGCGAACACATACCGTCGCTCTTTCACTTCCCGATCATCTCCCTGAAGAGAGTGGTGACTGTCAGGCACCGCTCCCCACAAGGATTCCCCCCTCCCCTCTCCCATCCTCCAGCGCTGACTGGAGGAACGGAGAGGGGAGGGGGCGGGCATAGCTGGCTCTGCCTTCAGATAGTCAGAGCCCGCTGTCAGCTAGCTGGGGGGATCTCGACAGTATTGTCGGGATCTGTCCCGGCTGCGGTGCTCTCAGCATATAGCAGGCAGTAGCCCATTATATACTGAGCTTTGGGTTACCGGAGGACGGTCGCATATGGGCTCCTGTAACTCTAAAGAGAACTATGGGATAAAAAGGTTACCCCATGGTTCTCTTTTAACTATTAACAAAAATGTATCTTACTTGTGCATCACTCGGCTCTATAGCCTCAAATCATCTCTGAATTCATGCTGACACTGTCCTTCCTTCTGGAGGGTGGCTGCTTTTGTTCCCCATGGCCCCTGTGTGTGTGTGTGTTGTAAAGTAGCCACCACTCCAAGCTCACTCCTGTGATAGACTACAATCTCATTACATATGAGTAAACTAAACGTGAGATTGTAGTTCATCACAGGAGTGAGTTTGGAGCGGTGGCTACTTTACAACACACACAGACCATGGGGAACACAGTAGCCACCCTCCAGAAGGAAGGACAGTGTTAGCACCAGTCAGAGATGATTTGAGGATCTACAGCTGAGTGATACACAAATAAGCTACATTTTTGTTAATAGTTAAGGCACTAGTAGTAGGTTTGTTTGGGTGGCGGGGAGAGGGGGGTGTTTTGTTGGGTTTTTTTTACTTTTACACCAATTTTTAACTTCTTTTAGATTTGAAGACTTATTTTGTGCATCACCTGAATGTCTCTCTTCTTTGGATGTACTCCAGATTACAGAAACATGCCTTTTCTTGAAAACCTTGATGGCTGATTATGTTGAATAATTGAGCCCATGCCTATAAGTACTGGGGAATTGTAGAAAAAGTGAAGAGTAGATTAAAGCTGAACTGTCCTATGAGCCATGGGTGACCGTGGCCTGAATGAAATAGCTGGCAAGAAAATTCCCCATCGAAATAGCTGGCAAGGTGATGAGCGATTTCTCTCGACTATGGCTAAACTTAGATATATTCTGCAACAAGCATACTGTGCATGAGCGCCTGCAGTGATATCTCATATAACAATTTATAGTTTGATTTTTGTATACAGATTTACATCTTTGCGAGTATGCAGCTATGAAAAGTCGCTCATCTTTTGCCAACACTCATTTTTACTAAGTGTTTGCTTTTTCTGTAGTCACATTCAGTTGCAGTGTATTTATCTAATTACATATTTCATTCGTGCATTCATAACTCAAGTCCTGGGAGTAAGCAGTCCTTACTTTAACCCCCCACAAAATAAGCTGTACCCCAAGTCCTTTCTTTTGTACTGCTAGGCAGGCTGGGGTATTTGAGACATCTGGAAAGTATTTGGTTTATAAACTCTGCTGGCTTGGCAGTACCCAGAAGCCTATTTAGAGGTTTCGGCACACCCAAGTCATGCGGGTTTCCATATAGTAGTTCCAAGAATGGATTTCCTGCATTTAAACACACATCCATTTTGCTCCAGCCACAACCATATTTAAACTTTTTGTTTATCCCTTTTTCCTCCTCAGGGCCACCATGGGAACATGTGTGTGTAACCTACAGCAGATTGGAAGGATTTGAGGTAGTTGTAGAAGAGTCACAAGATTCTGAAGCTTGAGTTATGTGCATACTTTTCCTGCTCAGGGTCTATATTGGTAGACTTTAAAAGCAATGGTAGCTTTGCTTGGAAAGCAGATGGCATGTTACCGATTTGAGATGAGATTCAGGTCGGACGGGGCAAACCATCCTTTTCTCCTGCCCAAATTACCGGTGCTGCGGTAATGTAAACACAGTGATGGGGATCCCGGATGACATAATTGACTAAATTTGATCTGTCATTTTGCAATGGGAGGGCTTCGGGTTATTGTGATTGCAATGGGAGGGCTTCGGGGTTATTGTGATTGACAGACTATAGATTTACATCCCTGAATGCTATGAATGACATGGATGCCGGATATCGTGACTGATGTGGATTTACATCAGTGGACATTATTTTTTTTATTTTTTTCTAATGCATTTAAAGGGCTTTTTCTAAGATGTGTATGTGTGTGTGTGTGTCTAAATTTAAATTTTAACTCTGGGAATGGGTAAGTGGTACTAATCTACCCCTGTAATTATTCCCCTGAGAGGGGGCAGATATCCAGCGACTGCCTTATTAGAAAGGGGACTTCCATATTCCCCCATATGTCCTCCCCAATAACCATAACATCCTTCTTGGAGCATCAGATGTGGGGAAAAATTGCCCCTGTCCCTTGACATTGGAACAAATCGCCTTGCAAGGGAAGGTTTGCTGCCAACCCCCCCTTGCAAAGTACCCCTCCAATGTTGAAAGGCATGGGGGGTGCCCACTCGCTGGCTTTTCTTTCAAGGTCACCCAGGCTGCATGTCTGGATAGGGGCCTAGTTGGAATTTTAAGAGGATACCCACACTGGTTTTTTTTTTTCTTTTTTTTTTTTTTTTCTTTTTAAAGTACATATTAGAAAATAAAACCAAAATTGGCTCTGACATCACCAGGGATGCCAGCTGCTGTATTTATGGTGATGCAGTGCCACGGTTTTCTCATTTGGCAATGGGAGTGCAGAGGGGAAATATCAACAGGCCTTGGGTGATTGACCATTTATTAACCATGGACTTACATTTCTTAGATGCCGTGATTGACAATGGATTTACACCAAAGGACATTGTGTGGGTTGTTTTTGTTTTTTTTGCATTCTTCTTGCACCTCTGTACTCAACCTGAAACAGGGTGGATATCTAGGTGCCCCCTTTTATAATGCCTCTATTATTCCGGTCCAGTATCCCCCCACATCTGTTTTGGGGCATTGGATGTGGAGGAAGGAGGCCTGGACAGATTTACTCATCCATGGTTACCAACAATTATGGCTACTGGTTTATTTTTTTATAAGTGGTAATCATGAGACATTTCAAAATACATAAAAACTATACAGGTGGAGTCATCACATATTCCTGTCTTAGTGCAGTGTCAAACTGATGTTTTTCCAGTCATTTGTGGCCACCGCAATACTTTTTGTGGCCCTTGGCCATTTTAAAATATCTATATATCATTATCTATCTAAGACTTCTGACTTTTCTTCAGTTTTACACTTTTTAAATCAATTTTCATGTAGAAAATATTGTAAGTTTCAGTTAATAATTGTATTACTATTATGTTAATTACCAAGGCCATAATATTTATTTGGAGTTAAGTAGCCCTACTACTTTGTTTAATTTGCATTTGACATGCTTATTCTGGAGGCTCATGTGACATTCTTTGTGTAGAGTAATTAAGCAATAATTATGATAGTGTAAAATCTTCTGTATTATTAAATAAGTCTTATTATAACTAAGGAAGGAGGTGTCCATTCTGAAATCCAGACAATTCTGGATCTGGATGATGCACTTTTTTTTTCACAGCTTTACCCATCAAACTCCTCATAGGCTACTATGAGGCTTAAAGAACCATACCATACCGCTGATTAAAAAAAGACTAACATTTATAAAGCACATTGCTTTGGGGGGGGGGGGATTATATCGATCATCATCAAGTTGGGTATCAACCAAGCAGGACGGAAAAATCCTGGAAAAATCCTACAATCTTCCTACTAAAATTCTAGTACTCCTTTTGCCCATGTGTACAGTATACGGTCCTTTTATCTTAAAGGTCACATAGCTCAGTGTTCGGTATATGGGTACCTTAAGTGCATTCATACTTGTAAAAAGTTTGTTCAAAATGGCCAAAGTCTGCTGAATTCTGTCACAATTTCTGTAAGGACCACAAATTTCCCACTTCCGGGGATCAAGATCAAGATCCGGGAGCTGCGGCCCAGTTCCTAACAGGCCACAGACAGGTACCAGTTTGCGACCCAGGGGTTGGGTACCCCTGCTCTAAAGGATAAACCACACAGGCATTTTAAATTGTGCAGTACAATAAAAGTAACAATACCCTGGATTGAACACAATCAACAGGTATTGTCTCAAAAGCCTCCAATAAAAACATCCCCAGCCCACATGCTAGTTCCATAGTAGCCACATCACTCAAAGTGAAGCTAAAAGTAAAGTTTAAGCTTCATTTACTTGGAATGAGCATGTGGGTGTCATATATAGATAGATAAAGTATACTTTCCAAACCAGTATTTAGCTTTGTGACATGTTGCCTTTTATTATGAGAGAAAAAAACACAAGAAGTGCACCAACCTAGTGTAGCAAATGTTACATGCATTTATTGATCAAATGAATGATCTAACAGGGTTCTTACAAAGCAGAGAGCTTTTATGGGGGGCCTTTTAGATCCTTAAAGGAGAACTATGGGGTCAGTGTTTTTTCCCCATAGTTCTCCTTAGGGTAACGGGAGGACACAAACTAGCGTCCTCCCGTTACCCTATTGCCATTTAGTTTACATCTATTTAATTTGTCTAATATCCTGTTAATCCAAAATGTGCTAGTTCAGAATTAAAAATCTATTATGTGAAATATGTAAATCACCAGTTAATTAACTTTAAAAAATCTCCTTGTTCTTTGACAGGTTGGTACTGGGGACACATGACTGTCAACGAAGCCAAGGAAAAATTGCAAGATGCTCCAGAAGGCACTTTCCTAGTTAGGGACAGCTCCCACACGGACTACCTCCTGACCATCTCTGTAAAGACCTCTGCAGGACCAACAAACCTGCGCATTGAGTATCGAGAGGGGAAGTTTAGGTTAGACTCTGTTGTTTGCGTACGCTCCAGGTTAAAACAATTTGATAGCGTGGTTCATCTTATTGAGTATTATGTTCTATTGTCAAAAAACAAGAAAATTGAGAATGAGACTCTACCCAACAGGACGGTACATCTTTGGCTAGTGAAGCCACTCTATATGTCTACCCCATCTTTACAGCATCTCTGTAGAATGACTGTCAACAAATGCACAAAGAAGGTCCAGGAACTGCCATTACCAATGAGACTAAAGGAATATATCACAGAGTACCGTTACCATGTATAGAATCACTTTTGCAATGATGCCTGCAGCATTGGAAATGCATTTCTGCAAGCAACTTCCAAATCCAGCCAAATATGTTTGAATCCGTTGTCTGCTCCATGCTGAATGTAAGGACATCACATTGTGTCGCTCCATTTTTCACTGGTTGTCATAGGACTGTTCAGGACTTGGGGTTCTGGAACATAATGGATACAATATGTTCGTTTGTTTTTTGTTTTTTTAACACTCTCCTTTCTTGACAGGAAATGTAGGAATCCAATTCCCATAATTTCAAAGTGTTTTTCTGTTCTTGCATTTTTTCTTTTTGTGCCATTTTGTTCTTTTTGCTGCCTAAAATATGTAGACACTAGTACTTTTAAGCACTATTTTCAGCTTAAGGTACCCAAACATAAAAAGAGCATTGTCTAATACTTGCAAGTTTGAGGAACAAGTTCCATGTGATTTTCAGCCAATAGTCTAATATGTGCACACAGCTACGATGCCCCAACGCATAGATTGGTGCTTAGTTTAGATGTGACCTGTGCATTCACTAGATATATTTTGATTGCACTGACAGTGTGCTTGATGTGCTGTATTGATTTAGTAAAGTTGTGTTCAGCTGATACACAAATATGTTATAAGGTAGACTTATGTTTTCGGTGGCTCAACCTGCAGAAAACTGTCTGGTATACGGGAACAAGCCAGTTCCCTTGGATGATCATTATCAAGTTGGGTATCAACCAGGCAGGATGGAAAATCCTACAATCTTCCTGTATGAGACCATTATAACACTTTCATTTTGTCTTTTTGAGTAAGATCTTTCTGAAGTGAGGAATGCTAGGATTAATTCGCCAGTTCTATTACAGGCCACATAGCCCAGTCTTAGGTGTATGGGTACCTTAAGTGTTTTAAATCACGAATGCATTCGTACTTGTAAAATGTTTGTTCAAATTAGCCAAAGTTTTGCAACGTGCCAAAGTCTGCTGAATTCTGTCACAATTTCTGTAAGGAATAAAAATGATGGGGATCAAGTTTCACTTCTGGGGATCAAGATTTTGTTGTTCTTAGTCTCACCTGTGATGCAGTACTGGAATATGGCTTAATTCTTTGTAACAAATAAGTTGCCAGCAGTAGAGAAGAAGGTGGTTTCTTATTACCATTTTAGCATTTATACTTTAGGTCCAGGTCCTCACTTCAGAAAACCTGTTAGTATGAATAACTGTGTAACCAACAGAACTAGTAATGAGAGTGTTCGCCGTGCAAAATGTTGGTTATTTTAGTTTTGGTGCAAGGTCATCATAAAAAAGCAGTGTCATTATTTTGCACCAAGATGATTCACCTGCAGTGAATTTTTAGTAAATGTCTAAAGCACCACTTTTAAAATGATACCCCCTATCGTGTGAGGTGAATCGTAAATATACACTGTTACACTGTACACTGTAGTCAACTAATGTGGCATTGGGGGCCTTACATTCATCTTTATGAGCCCAGCATTGTGCCAGCTCATATAATTTGGCTTTGTAATGGTAGAAGTAGCTGACTGAACCTGGAGTTCAAAGAAGCCTGCATGTGATTCAGTTTGCCAGCAACCATGCAGGACTGAAATATGGGTTTTATGTGGTGTTGCCCTTTAAATATGATCTTCAGGAACAAAACATTTGCCCCTGGGCCCTTGTGGATTGGTTGTGACAGGATTCCCGATTTTCCCAGTTCACTATACCTATGAAGTGTTAGTTCTTCGGGACACAGAAGCGATCTGGCAACAGGTAAGTCGCCAGAATCGCTTCTGTTGTAAAGCCGACAGTCGACTCTACAAGTTTAAACAGACTCCCGGCGGCAAAAGTCGCCGGGAGTCTGTTTATACAGCCCCGATGCTGGCGACGTACACTGTACGTCGTCAGTCACGAAGGGGTTAAATTCATATACTTACCTCCAGTACCACAGGAAATGTTCTGCCTATACTTTTACAATATAAATGCTCACAAACAAATCTCAACACATAATGAGGAAGGGCAAAGGCTTAAAATGAAGGGTATTGGCCCGTTTTAAGTTATTTTTTTTAATACTGCTGTGTAAAATGTGATCACCTAGGTGTGCCTGTACATACCTGTATCCTTCCCCCAAGCTGTACTGAAAAGGCAAGCTCCGACACTTCCTGATAGTGTCAAAAATGCCAGCCAACTCCCATCTCCTACACATTCCTATTAGGCCATAACTAAGATGGGCTGCCTCACTATCCAATAAATGTGTGGGAGGTAGTACTGGATAGGCAAGCTTTGACATCAAGAATTGTCGGAGTTGTGCCAGATCAGCATAGGTTGTGTTTCAGTGCAGGGAGAAGGAAGCTGCAGGTATGGCTTGGCACCTCTTGGTGCCTCCATTGTTTACCTTTTTGACAGTCGCTTTAAGAAACTGGTGCTCGCCTATAAAGTGTAATATATTTCAAAATATATTTTATAGATTTAGAATTGCTTTTCCTAGTGCAAATCCAATGTGAAATGCCTTGATATGTGTTTGTGTTGACCTTCAAATTGGGTCAAAGGTCTGTTTGGTGTCCTAACGTTATTAAATTTAATATTCAATATATTAAGGTTGCATTGGCGATTTCAGCTTTTTGGGAGGTCTTGAAGCAAACTGACAGGTTTGCATTACATGAAAAAAGCCTTTAAACCTCTAGACTGGATCCTTTTTTTTTTTTTCCTCTTTCCCACAGCTGTTGTCTAGGTTTGTCTCATAATAAGGGATGAGCTTGGGTTTAGACTGAACCTGACCCCATCTATACCCAGAACTGCCGACCCAATCGGCTGCAGGCGGGGGAATTTGTCAGTGGGACTGACCTAATATGGTCAATGACAGTTATGGCCATGTGGCCATATAAGGGCCGTGATGTCACCAAAATTCCGCCCCTTTGTTAATGTGCAGCTGTGGCGCAGGGAAGTCTCCTGCCACAGCATATTAGGCCAGCACTGACCGCTCCCTTCCACGTTTGGATGAGCTTGGATTTGGTCTGCTTATCCCTACTCCTAATTAAGCGGAAAATCTGGCTGTATATTTTAGGATGTTATATTCAATCCATTATAATCCACAAAGCACAATGAAGCCATTCCTGTAATTTATACATCCCCATCTAAGTATGTTTCCTACGATCCTATTTTAATTTCACCTTGCATTTGCTCGAGAAACACAAAGCTTTATGGTTTGTGGCCGGTACAGCTTTAAGGAGCTATTTTCATGATATCCTACTCGAAAACTTTTCAGATGTGAGACAAGAGCAAGGTGCCAATTTATGTATATATAATATCTATTTTACAGAGGCATTTTATGTCCTGTTCATTTTAAGCATACAGTGGATCTGTGGTCACACGGCTGGATTTTAAGGTGCCTTAAATGGTAGTCTGGCTTGCTGTATGGTAACGTAAGTTTGGCATCCAGTGGTCATATTTCCTAGAATATGATTGATTTTCAGTGCTTTGACAATTTATTTATTTTTGATTACGCATTGCTAGTACCTTTTTTCAAAAGTAAAGAATTCTCAGAATGACTGATTATTCATAAAATAGTACCTTGGCCATCTAAATTACACAAAAATAGTATTGGTGCAAATATGATGTCCATCTATTCTTCAGCTGATAATTACGCTTGCAGGCCCAAAGTAACGGTTTGACGCATTGAGCTGCCTTGAACACGCAGTAAATCCATCTAATAACCACACAATTACAGTGTTGCTTTATGTAAAAGAACTGCTATAACTTTTTGAAATTTTCATACCTTGATAGAATTTGATACTTGAAATGCATTTGCTATGCAGGTGAGTGAGTACTTCAAATATTTTCTGAAACAGTGGCTGGGGAAAAGCCACTTGAAGCTTCCATCAGTTTGACTACTGGCACTGAGTGTGCAGTGTGTAGTTATATACACCCTTTTGTTCATGCTAAAAACGCAGGTCTTAAATATCTTCTGCCCCAGTAAGGTCCGGACACGCATATACCTTGTAAATGCCTTCAGAAACTCTGTGGAAACCAGTTTGTAGTCTAGACTCAATGGTCCTCTTAAAATACATTTGTAGATCTGGAGGATCTGTTGAAATGCAGAACTTGCAAAGATAAATGATGTATTGATATCTGCTATGAAAAGCAGCAGTTGCTTTTAATGTCTACAATGTAGAAAATAAACATGACTATTTAACAAGTGTGTATTCTTTGCTGCAACAATAAATAAAATGGATATAAGAAACCTGTATGCTGTGACATGTGGTGTTCATTTTTATATAAATAATTTTTTAAAGAATAATTCCAGGATTTATTCAAATTAACCCTTGCAGTGGGGCTACCCCCGCACTGCAAGGGTTAACTGCTCCTTTGGTCTAGGGCAGGGGTCAGCAACCTTAAACACTCAAAGAGCCATTTGGACCTGTTTCCCACAGAAAAGAAAACACCAGGAGTCACAAAACCCTTTTGACATCTAAAATGAAGATAGCACTGCATATATTGTTTTTTACCTTTATGCTATGTATAGCATGTATATAGGTATATGTGGGCTTAGTAACGCACTGGACTCAGGGCTTAGTAACGCATTGGACTCGGTGCTTAGTAACGCACTGGACTCAGGGCTTAGTAACGCACGGGACTCAGGGCTTAGTAACGCACTGGACTCAGGGCTTAGTAACGCACTGGACTCAGGGCTTACCTGAGACCCCGCAGAGCCCACCTGAGAGTGACCCTGCAGAGCACACCATAGATCCTGCACAGCCCATCTGAGACTCTCTATGGTGGGCTCTGCAGGGCCTCAGGTGGGCTGGTCGCCGGGGTACCTTTCCCTGTACCTTCTCCCAACTCCTCTTACCTGCTGCTGCTGGGGCCTGGCCTCTTCCACCCCCTCCCCTGTCACCTCTGCCATGCCGCCCATGGTACAGCTGATACTCATGTAAGGGGCCCCCCAGGCTGCCCACACTCCTCACATGGGTACCGGCCATACTCCCCTGATGGCGGTGTACTATCAAAGTTTGTGACTGTGTTACAATGTGTGCCCGGTGACGTGGTCACACATTTTAATGTAATCACGCCCAGTTTTTTGGCGGTGGAATGTGTGACCACCAATAGCTCAAGCATTTCAACGCTTTGTCAGCTGTTCCAGGACAGATTGGCATCGCAAATCGTATGTGCAGGAGAATTGATCTGCCCTGGAACAGCTGTTTGGTCCTGAAAT